TTCATCTTAAAAGCAGTGTGTCGTTAAGCAAGTCGGGATAGAGTGATGATTCGCCTTTTTTATCTTTAATCTACACTGGGTACCTTATACTGGTGCCCATGTGCCAAGCTAAGCTAAACTTTTATTCTTAATGTAGTTGTCGCTTTTATCGCTTTATCAATATTTGAACTGCTCTGACTTCAATTTACTATTAAGAACAGTATAACTGCAAAATTTAATAACGTCCACGTTTTTTCATGTATGGACGAACACACTCTGATAATCATTTTTTATAAATTTTGTATGTGCGTCCATATCTTACAAAAACCCGACCCGTAAATATAAAAAGGAGAGGTGTATATATATATATATATATATATATATATATATATATATAACGTATTTAACATACAACGTGTGTTAGCACGTGATACCCTGACTTCATCAGCCGCCGACCACCATATATATATATATATATATATATATATATATATATATATATATATATATATATATATGTAAACACCATATATATACATATATATATATATATATATATATATATATATATATAGTATTTACAGCATAAGCAATAATAATTGTCAAAGTATATTTTAATAAATATTTTATCTGTATTATTTACTTTTAAGTAAGATTTTATATAACTTGGCATATATAAGCAATTTTATAGTCAAGAAGATTGTTCTTTTACATTCATAGTGTTTGTTTTTTTGTTGGTTTTGAATCACTTCACCCCATGCAAGGAGACAGTGCCACTAGTACGCAGAGAGTTACACAGTGTAAAAGTAAGAGCTGGGTATAGGGAGAATTGAAGAAAGGATAAAAGATGAACGGGGTTCAAGACAACAGAAGATGGCGATTGACGTTGCATTTAAATTTTTGAAGATTGTAGTTATCATGGAAGTAAGTAAGCGAAAAAGAGTTCCACTGTCGGAAAGTGCGAGAAAAGAAACTGTTGGAATTGAAGTAACGGTTACATTTAACTATTTCAACAGTAGAAGGGTGGGACCTAGCAGCCAATCTAGCAGCATGCTTAAATTCATGTAGTTAGAGCATCAGTGGAAAAAAGCTCGTCGGAGCAGTTGACATGAAAATATTTGTAGAAAAGACAGAGGTAAGCCACATCAAGTCAGTGAGTAAGTGATTGATGTCAAGATGACAAGTCATGATCGATTACATTGTAGATCCTTCAGGAACCTCGATATAAACAGCAGGGCACCAGACCAGATATGCCAACAATATTCAATGCACGGCCGAATGATAGATTTGTAAATGTTCAAGATGGACTCTAACGATAAAAACCTTCTGGCACAACACAATGAACCAATTGTCCTTATAGTAGATGCAGCTATTGATCCAATGTAGTTGTTGCACTTCAAGTCAGCCAAGAAGACGAATTGAGACGCTCTTTTGGAGTCGAACATCACCAGATGCTGATGGAGGACAGGGAAGTTTCTCTATGGTGGTTAAATGTGAGCAATGTAGTTTGGGATGCATTAAAATTTATATGCCATTTCTTGCCCCAGTTAACCACTGATTGGCGGTCCTTTTCAAGATAAAAAAAATTGTTTAAAAAAGATAAAAAAAACTGTTACAGATTCTATCTCTGCAACCGGGCTTGGGTGATGTTCATACATGTATTTTCCTTCCCGAAAATGTTGCATATTTTCCAATGTCCAATTGGTACACTTGTTTTTTTGTTTTTTTATTCAGTGCGTAATAATACTGTACAACCTGATACAAGATGATCAATTGTATATTAATCACACCATCTACATTTCGGGTTTGCACAATTATTATTATTATTATTATTATAAACATTAGAAAATTATTCAAATGTTTATCTCATTCTCAGCTCTTTATGGCTATGTCCAGAATTAGAAATTCAATATTTTTTAAATAGATTTAAAAAAAAAAAAAAACAAAAGAAACATTTGGACATATCATAACTTTTGGACATATCATAACAGTAAGACATATCATAATCTCCCCTGACGTTTACATCGTAAAATTTAACTTGTAGAGTACTTAATCTTAGCGTTTTTCACTTCACAAGTAAAAAATAAGTTTCAGATGAACACAACAATTTTCTCTTAGAAAAAAGATGAACACAACAAATTCTGTCTTAGAAAAAACAACACCCTGCTGATGACATTGTGCTAATGTCGAAAGTACTCGAAATAAAATGAATATGCAACAACATGGTAATTTTCTCTCTACCTTTAATAAGGAAACTAAGCTTGTCCGTGAATATGAGATGATCCTGTTGAGGCTAAGTAGACAAAACTTGTCTAAAATATTCCATGAGACTTAGCTCAGTGACAAAATGGACTTTAGAAAAAAAATACTTGAAAATGTTGTTTATACAGAAATTTTAGAGAGATAAGAGAATTTCTATGACAACTTACCTCTCTTTGTTCTTATTCGGCTACAAAATATCAGAATAATTTAGTTATTCCTATCCTGTTGAATGGAGCAAAGAACAATTATAAATTTTCTCGAAATTTTTCTCAGATTTGAACGTGAAAAATAACGAAGGGCCTACTTATTGAACAAATTTCTTTACAAGTTTGTGCGTAATAAAGAGAACATGGTTTATGTGACCTAATTAATGATGAAATTCAAGTTTTAGCAGAAAAGCTACAAGCAGCTTGGAATAACAAAACAAGCATAGCATTCGCGAATTTGGTTTAATTCTGCAAGCGAGCAGCTGACTGACAGGTGGGAGATTTTAAACTTCCAACCCAGGTATCTAACCAAAGATAAATCAAAATATCTACCTTCCATGATTTATTATTTGAAATAATTTCTTGCTGCAAATAGCACAAAAAGGCAGGTCGGAAGGGGAAAATAGGGAGAGAAAAGATAAAATTGCAGCGCGGTAATTGTTTATTTCTTACTCGTATTTCCATCTTCCAACGTTACGGGGATCCCTGACACAATCTTCTTCTTCTTCTTCTTCTTCTTCTTCTTCTTCTTCTTCTTCTTCTTCTTCTTCTTCTTCTTCGTTTTCTTCTTCTTCTTCGTTTTCTTCTTCTTCTCCTTCGTTTTCTTCTTCTTCTCCTTCTTCTTCTTCTTCTTCTTCTTTTTCTTCGCCTCCTTCTTCTTCGTCTCCTTCTTCTTCTTCTATGTTTCGTATGCCTTCAAGACGTTTGCCGATGACGGCTCTCCATAATTCTCTGTCCTTTGTAGTGCTTAATAAATTATATCTTTTTATTACCTCTTTTAAAGCTTACTCAGCCATCCATTTACTCAAGCTTGCTAGGTAGGCTATACGTTGTTTACCCTTTTCCCTCTTGTTTTTCAGTCTGTCCTGTCAATCTCTCTTTCCTCATTTTGACCCCCTAGAAATCTCAGCTGCCTCTTCCTGGGGTTAAGATGTCCTGAATATTGTTATTGACTACATCTAGCGGCAAGGCCTATGATCGGGAGGTTTTCAGGAGGGTGAAATCAACTCTTAATCGATGTTGTTCCCAGGTCCACCCTGACTCGGGGTGGCAGCACCTGTTAGGGGCACAGCTATAGGCAAATAGTTACCCCCAAAACTGGGGTCAAAACATTATGCAAATATAAAATACATTTTCATCCTAAAAATAATCCTGACGTTAAGTATGCGTAATAATACATTAATCATAAAAATAATGCCGCTAAACAAATAAAAAATCCTGACGTTAAGTATGCGTAATTATACTGTTTTAATTTTTTTTAAATCCTCGTGCAATTTCAAAACTGTTTTTAATACTTGTTCTATTTTAAAACTGTTTTAATACCTGTTCTATTTTAAAGCTGTTTTTCATATTCGTATTATTTTAAAACTGTTTTAATAATTGTTCTATTTTAAAACTGTTTTTAATACACGTATCATTTTAAAACTGTTTTTAATACACGTATTATTTTAAAACTGTTTTTAATACACGTATTATTTTAAAACTGTTTTTAATACACGTATCATTTTAAAACTGTTTTAATACACGCATTATTTTAAAACTGTTTTTTAATACTCGTAGTTGCAAAATAAAAATTATATTAATTTTCAAACTATCAATTAACTAAAAAGTAATAATGTTAAATAATACCGTTTGTGATTTTTATCCTTCTCGCTAAAGGTAAAGAAGGTCTAATATGGCGAGAGACATTAAGATGAAAGCTCAGTAAGGTTGTATAGTGTTAGCGAAAAAAAAGAGTATCAAAAAAAAATAAAATAAAATAAAAGAGTATCATCAGGAACAAATTATTATGAGTTCCACACCAGTGGTAACTGGTGGTATTCATTGAAAATCGGGTGAAAATAAATCATTATAATACTCTAGCATTCTTATGACTATTCTTCTTCTTTTATATACCATGTCATTTCAAGACCTTATACTACACATTATTCTGCATGACTTCTTGCCTTTTGTTGCTCTATGTAACTTTGTTCCTGTACGATACTTCTTTGTTTCTCTACTGCCATCCATTGATTCAACTTTAGTAAATAGTTTACTCAATTTTTCCATCACCTTCTCTTAACTTCGATATAACCCTATGAATGTTATATACTCTAGTACTTCTTACATCATTATGTTTCCCAAATATTTCCTCAGTCTCTTTCTTGTTCGAAGTCTTTGTGTGGGTGTGGGTGTATTTCTTTTTTTTTTTTTTTTTTTATTGTTTTTTTTTGTTGAAGAACCACATCTCTCTGTCGCTTCAAGTCTCTTCTTCACCTGTGATGTTATTGTCCAGGATTCGGTCCTGCATAGGAGAATAGATATTAAGTTCAGCAATCCTTTGTTTGTTTCTAAATATATTTTTCTATCACTTAATAATTCGTTTAGTTTCTGAAAACATCTTTCTCTATTCCATTTTACCTCCGGATTTTTGTCACATCTTCCCGACGTTTTGATTTTACATATCTTCATTCCTCTTATGTTGCTTACACCTTGAGCTGACAATTATTCCTTTCCGAAAATGATCGAAATGGCCTTTTCATTCGTTACATCATTAATTCAGTGTTGGTTTATAGCCATATCGCTTTGAAACACCAGTTCCCGTACAATCACCAAAGTTAAGCAACATTGAACCTGGTCAGTACCTAAATGGATAACCACTTGGGAATTCCATGTGCTTTAAGTGCGGGTGGTGTAATGGATAATGATTCGGTATTGTTAATCGAAGTCACTAGTTTCAATTCCAGTTAAGTTCGTTATAATCACTTACGCTCAAATGCTCTTGGGAATGCTATGAGTCGAAATCCCCTACACCGTATGATTTGAATGACTAAATCGTTGTTATCTCAAAAAAATTCTTACAATCTAAAACTGTTTTCTGGTTTTAAATAATCTGCAAAGGGTTGATAAAACGAATCACTCAATCAGTCAATAATTCATTTTTCTTTGAATACAAATAATTTAAAGTGTCTGTTTTATCGGGGGGGGGGTATAATCAACGGAAACTGTGTTGAATATTCAGAGACGTAATTCAATCAAATAATAATGGTAATAATAGCCGTTTCCTAATAAGGAAACATTTAGTATTCATTAATCGAGCAGCCAGTGCTAGTGTCGGTTGAAATTTATAAAATTTTTCTCTTAAAATATTTTTTTTTCTGAAAAATGCGCCTCTTATGTCTGTTATCGCTATTTCCAGCATTTATAAGGTTTTCCTTCCTAACCTTTTGTTTCAAATGGTGTGTAACGTCAACATCTCGATTATGTCATTATTTTCTCTTCAAATTAGATGTGCTATTCATTTTCGTTGTTTCTACTTTTGAAAGTCCTCAAGTGATGAGGTTCCTGTTATTTGGTACATTTTTTTTGTTTGTGTTTATGTTGTGCCTGTCTACGACTTTCGAAGAGGTGTGGTCCTCACTAAGATCCACAACGTCCATTCACTGCAAAACATTGTTTATTATTGATCTGATTTTATACATTTGGCACTTTAGATATTTCTGAACGAGTCTGGCACCATGCATGACATCTTACGTATTATAAAACGCAGATTGTGTGTGTGTGTGTGTGTGTGTGTGTGTGTGTGTGTGTGTGTGTGTGTGTGTGTGTGTGTGTGTGTGTGTGCACGTTTATATATTGGATCGGATTTCCTACATTTTTCAACCGATTTCAACAAAACTTCACAGGACTATGTAAAATTACCTTGCGCTGGTTCTAACAGCGCCAAAAATTGGAAAAACACAATTGTTTTTGCATGAAATCAATTTGAAAACACGATTAAGAGGCATCACGAGAATGAAAGGGGGACAACTCATACGGAGTTATACTTATTATAAAACGCAGGTTGTGTGTGTGTGTGTGTGTGTGTGTGTGTGTGTGTGTGTGTGTGTGTGTGTGTGTGTGTGTGTGTGTGTGTTCGTTTATATATGGGATCGGATTTCCTACATTTTTCAACCGATTTCAACAAAACTTCACTTTTTTTGGCAGGTAGTGTTTCTTATTGTCTTGCACACTTTTTTCTTTATTGTTACATTCAGAATGCTCTAAAAATTCCATTTACAAGACAATTGTGTATAATAAAATTCTATTCAATCGGTAGACTCATAACGATTGAAAACAATGTTTTTGTTTGAGTTTGGGTTTGACCAATTCGTAAAAAAAAATAAAATAAAATAATTAAGACATGCGTGTCCGTCAACCTTAAACAATAATCTTTGTCAACTTTATTTTTCAATCTTTATGATGGTCGATACTCTTACTGTTACATCCACCGGGCAACGCCGGGCTCTACTGCTAGTCCATATTAAAGTCTTGATCTGACGAGGCTATTTAAGAATATGACTCGACTTTTTAAGTTAGTGATTTAGTTTCTATTTTGGAAGCGTTTGTCTTCAGACTTATTTCTTGGAACAGTTAAAAGAGGATGTTGATTTGTTATTGTCCATCTTGATTAAGTCATTATTTTCTCTTCGAATTACATGCGATTTCAGTTGTTGCTACTGCTGAAAGTCATTAAGTAATGTGGTTTCTGTTATTTGGTAACGTTCATTGTTTGTGATTCTGTAGCCTCATTCCACAAGATTCGAAGAAGTATGGACCTCGCCAAGGCCTCACTCGCCGCTAGCTTGATTATTGAAAATACAGCCACTCTAAAGGGAGATTTCCCCGGCTCCAATGGAAGTTATAAATGGGGCTGCGTTCTGATCACTGATTTAGTGATGTACGACACAAGAAAAATTCGTCATCCAAATTAATTTACAAGATCTGAAAGAAAAAACCAAACCCAAGTTCTTTCATAAGACCTGCTGGCTTCATTCGCTGGAAACTATTTTAATAATTGAACTGAGACAGCGTTTTCATACAACTGAGGGCTTAGCTATTTCAAAAAGTATATGGCTTTATGCATTACAGTCAGGTAGTTATCTACCATACGTGATACACGTTTAGGCGATCATGTATCATTCGATACATGACTGACGAGGCAGATTTTTTCCCGCAGTAGGTTGGCATTTCTTTCTGCTATAGGCCAGTTGCCATCCAAGCCTATAACCCGGGCTGTCCTGCTATTTACCCATAGGATATTAGCACGTAAGTGAATGTAATGGATTCAACTGGAATTCGAACTCGGTTATCCGATTCCTCACGCCGATCCGCTATACATTACTCCACCTTGCCTCGATTCTGACAGGCTTGTTTAATAACATGACTTACGATCAAATAACGCATCTCTCGTATTCAATGACCTCACGTGATTAATTGAAGGTGTTCACCACCGTTGCGTGGCTTGAGTACACGTCACGACCAGTCTTTCCACAATGGAAGTGTGTGAAGAAATCATCAAGCTTCTAAGGAGTAATATCCCGTTTAGATCCATTCTGTGCAATTGGGAGTGATCTGTTGTTGGACTTGTTATCCTCTATCCCTTCTACATTCGAATAAAGCGCAACTCTCAACCACGCCGACACAAGTCTGTGTTTTGTTTTATCTATTCATTCTAAATATGATATTGAGAAACTACGACCTTTTTTCATAATGAGAAATAAAGAGATTATAATCTAATGATGCGCTTTAAAGAGAAAATATTTAAACATTTTACTTCTTTTTTTTTAGCTCTGAAAACTGTGTTACTGTTCAAAAGTAATTTCAGCTCCTCTTATACCTCTTGTTTATACCTCGGCCAGTATTAGGTTTCTCAAATAATAGGGCGAAAAACAGAAGGAAACAAGAAGTACGTAGGAGAGGTCCAATTCTCGGAATAGCCGTGGAATGAGAGAGAAAGCCAGAGTTGATGAACAGTCGAGGCAGAGGGGAGAGACTGGAGTTTTTGAAAATGTCGCCAACTTCATGAAAATAGTTTCAAGTTTACTTCTTAGTACGACTTATTCTTTTCGCAACTCGGCATGACGTGTACATACATATATATATATATATATACATATATATATATATATATATATATATATATATATATATATATATATGCATGTATATATATATATATGTGTGTATATGTGTGATGTATATATATATACATATATATATATATATATATATATATATATATATGTATATATATATATATATATATATATATATATATATATATATATATGTATATGTGTGTGTATATATATGCACATATATATATACATATATATATATATATATATATATATATATATATATATATATATAGCATCTGCATATCTGTAGATAATGTGTAAGTGCCTGTGTTTGTGTGCGCGCGTGTGTGTGTGTGTGCATTTGTTTGTCTTAATTGTTTTTGTTTTGTCGTTCAAAAATTGTCCACAAGGTACAAAACAAAATAAACGGTCTGATCTTTGCAGCCTGTCAGTAACTGACGGTTGGTTGAAGGGGTTGGGTTAGAAATCTGCGGCAAAGTTCTTAATGTCATTTCCCACCCTAGTTCCTAGATACCCCACTACCCTCGTAATGAGGCTCCTAACTTCTTATTGTTTTTAGACTACGGTTTTCTCTGTTCAATTCTTTCTCTGTTATTCCTTGTATTGCCTGTTTGTTTACACTGTACCTATCTCTTAACTCGCTTCCTATTCACTCTCTCTCTCTCTTTCACAAACACATTCTCTCTCTCTTTCACAAACACATTCTCTCTCTCTCTCTTTCTCTCTCTCTTTCTCTCTCTCTCTCTCTCTTTCTCTCTCTCTCTCTCTCTCTCTCTCTCTCTCTCGCGCGCGCGCTTTTATATTCTTTTTTATGACATTCTTTATTTTTCTTCTTTTCTTGCTTTCGCCTTCTCTGTATATACATTTATTCATTTTTCTCTCATTCTCCCTCATTCCTACTCTCGATTTATTGATTTTACTCTCTTTCTTTCCCCCACATCTCTCTTTCTCTTTCTCTTTCTCTCTATGGCCTTTTCTCATTCTCTATCGCTCTTCTTGTATCTCTCTTTCGCTCGTTTTTTTTTTCTCTCTATTCTCTTTTTCCATTTTCTTTTTTGTAACCCTTCCTTGTTTTTTTTTTCTCTCCATACTCACCTCTACCTCCTCTCTCTTTCTCTTGCTTTTTTTTCTCCTTTTCAAATGCATAACAGACGTCTGTTCATCTTTCCTTTCTATTCTTTTTTTTTCCAGACCTCTTCCTCTTCCGTCTTCCCATTTATTATTTGCTTTATTCACATTTTATTTTATTTCACGTTGTCTCCTTTGACAATTTTATTTGCCTATTCCTCTCTTTTTCTCTTTCCCTTAGAAAAAGATTATCACTTTCATTTTCGTCTTCAGTTTATCAAACTTTGATTCGATAGCTCACATTTTTTTTTACTTTCGTCATTCTCTTTATATCGATATATTTCATTCTCGCTCTCCGTCTTTCTCTCTCTTTCTATCTCGCTATAAACACACACACATACACACACACGCGCATATATATATATATATATATATATATATATATATATATATATTCTGTTTATACGTTATTTTCATAGATACAAATATTTAAGTAAATGCCCTGTTTTTATGATAAACAGTATCAAATACATTTACCGGCTTGAAATGAAATGTAGTTGTTATTGTTTATTATAAAAACAGACCATTTACTTAAATATTTGTATCTATAAATATAACGTACAAACAGAATATATATTAAAATAATTGTCGGACTTAGATCATTTCATAACAACATTCTAGTCATCT